GCCGCCTCGGGGACGAGATAAGAAGGCGGGGGCGGACCGGCGTGGGGCCAGGGCCCAGCGCGGACACGGTGCCTCGGGCTGAGCCCGCAGGACTCCGGCCTCGCCTTGCGCCCGCTGCACCCGGGACCCCCGGCACTCACGGATGACGTCGGGAGCCTGGCACAGGGTCAGCAGGTCGTCGTCGTCCCGGTGCTGGGCGTACTTGCGGCGGGAGCGCTCGAGGGCCGCAGACAGCACCTGCTGCAGCACCTCGATGTTGCGCAGCTTCCGGCACAGACTCGCCTCCCTCACGGCCTCCTCGTGCAGCGGGATGGCCCGGAGCAAGTGGCGCCTGCCTGCCAACGGGACACCCCACGTGACGGGAGCCCCCACCGCGCGGGCCCCCCGGGGGAGCGCGAGGCCCAGCAGCGCCCGCCCGGAAAGGCGGACTTCTGGCTCCTGAAGGGACTTCCCTGCCTGGGACGCTCCAGCCCGTCGTAGTAATCTGCCGGGGTAATCTGCTCGCAGGGCCTACCCAGCGTGCACCTGGCAAATGCACCCCAAACGTTCTAGGCGCAAGAGACAAAGCAGTGGAGAAAAACTAGCCTCAGCTTTCGTGTGTACGTGCAGAGAGATGCATAACAGATCGCGCCGCAGCGCCTGTGGAGGAAAGGAAAGCCGGGCAGGCTCATGTGGCATGAAAAGTCTGGGAGGGGGACTCCTGGACGGGCGATCGGGTCGGCCTCTTTGAAGGCAACTTGAGAACAGAGCCCTAAAAGAAGGGAGGGGATAGTCATGGCCACCTGGCAGAAGAGCATTCCTGGAAAAATAAACAGCAGGTGTGCGTTTAGGCCTGTGCCTTCCTGGACAGCAAAGGGCTTGGGGTGTGGCTGGGGGAGGAAAGGGGGGGTAGGGAATGACCAGACAACGGCAGGGCCCAGACCACATCCAGCCTTCTGCCCCCACTTGGGACGAGAAGGACGCAGCCGTCAGAGGACTTATGTGGTTTGATCCAGTTAAACAGACCGCGAAGGAGCGAGGAGGAAAGCGGGGAGACCAGCCACCAGGCCACCGCCTGGGCCGGGCAAGCTGCGTGAGCTCTGGGCCTGCTGCCTCAGTGAAAAGTGGGGCTGTCTGCACAGCTGTCTCATACGGTGGTGTGAGACTTCAGAGTCCACATTTGTTAAGTGACACTGCACACAGCGTGGCTGGGCAGGTGCTAGGTAAGAAGCTGTCAGATTTGGGCTGTGTTACAGGTAGAGTTCATGGCTTTCACTGATCAAATCTGCGCTGAGAGAGAAAGACAAGAACAGATGTTAAGTCCCGGGCTCCTGGCCTGTGCACCTCAAGGAAGCAGTTGCTATCTCTGAGGAAGGGGGAGTGTGTTGGGGGGGG